GTTGAGGGGCAGGGAAAGGTCCACAGGGTTTTAAATACCTGACTCAGAATGAAAAACACACACAAAGAAACCAGCTGAGAAAGGCTTTTCTACAATATTTTTTTGTGACAAAGCCCTCAGGCCCTTGGGACCCAGCAGCAGAGATGCTTGGAGTGTACCTCTTTGTGTGCTCCAGCCCCCCCTGTACCCCCAAACCAGCCCTGCTGAGCCCCTGTTGCTGTGAGGTGGGGGTACAGGCACAGCTGGCACAGAGGAGTGTTTCTGCCCTATGCTTTTCTTGGCAGAAGGAAGAGCAAGCACCTCCCTCAAGGGCCTCCTCTGCCTGCCTTGTGCCCCGGGGCGTTCGTGCACCTTTCTCTGGAGCATTGGCAGGGGCACCACAGAGACTGGGGCTGCTCTGGAGGGATCCTGGTCTGGGAATCCCCACTGCAGCTCCCCGCAGCATATGCCAAGGGGCCTGAGGACTAGAAATCAGGAGGGACCCCCGCCCTGGCTCTTAACTGTTGGAAAAGTAGGCCAAGTCTCCCAGGCTCTCTGTGCTCCTTCCATCACTCCCAGCATCTCTCCAGTTCACTCCTGCTGACCCTGCCCTCTCTCATCCCACCAGTGTGATCCTCAGACTCAACGGAGGTCCCGATTGAACCGCATCCCCTTTGAGCTGGGCCTGTGTGGTGTCTCACAGGGCACTAATGCTGCAGGTGTGGAGTCACAGCACAAAAGAAGGGCAGGGCAGGGAAGAGGAATGGATTGCCCAGCCTGGGAACTGCCCCTTCAGCCCACCTGAGGCAGCTCAGGAGCCTCATGGTGCTCGATAAGGGCACTTGCACTCTCTGGCATCCCCAAGAAGGACCAGGAGGTGATGAGCACCACGAACATCACTGGGAGGTCTGGTGCTGGTGTCCCTGCAGGGCTGACATGGTGGAGTGATGGTGTCACAACTGCTGTGCCCTCCCCACATCTCCTTTGCCTTCTGCAGCTGCTCCCTCCCAGCTCTCTGCAGGGTGGCACTGGAGCAGTGGGTGCTGTACAAGGGCAGTCAGCTGAGCTGTCACTTGGGACCAGCCCTGTTCAGCTTGATGGGCTTTGAACCCACGGTGCAGCCCCTTCACAGGGAAGGGGAGTACAGAGGAGAGCACAGGTCCCTTTCTCCCTTGCATTTCAGCAGTCTGTGTGCAGGCTGTGCCCTCCACCCTCCCTTCCCGTGCCACCACCTCCTGTCATGAAGCACCCCGGTGACACCAAGCACTCTGCCCCTTCACCTTCCTCACCACTCAGGAGAGGCCAGCAGCTCCCTGTTCACTCCACAGTGCCCTTTGATGCAGCTCTCCAGCCCACGCCAGGCCCAAGCCACGCTGCTGTAATCAGGCCAAGAGGTTTAGTTTTGTGAGCAAAACATAATGTGATCAGGTTTGCTCAGAACACCTTGCTGTGAGCCAGGCCAGCACTCTCCAGTGTTTTTCCTTCCTCTGCTCCTCTGCCACTTCACTTGAACACTTGTGCCTGGCACATACAGCCCTCCCTAACCCTTGTGGCCCTTCCCACGCTTGGCTCCATGTGGGGCACAGTTGGATTTGCTGGGTGAGGGAGACCATGGGTTCTTGCCATGCAGCACCAAGTTTGCTCTCCTCTGGCTCATACCAAAGGTTGCAGCTCCCTGTGACACCCCTGTACCTCACAAAGCCATCTCCATACTCAGCCTTGATTTCCAAAAGGCTTTCCTTGCTGCCTGAGGGCCGAGGTCATGGTGGCTTTGCAAGGGATCTCAACCTGAAGTGGCTGAGGGATCTGGTTATCTTGAAATGGGATCAGTGGATTAACAATGGGATCTTATTAGCCAAACCTCCCCTCCAAACTGTCTAGGGACACTAGTTTTACATCTTGCTATGGAGAAGACTTGGACACCAAGAGTGCTTCTTCTTCTTGGCCCTTAGATCCTGCAGCTCGAAGTCTCTTGTGATTAAAGTCTTGGTGACTCTGAGCCAGTGTGAGGCCTGGAGGGTCAGGGAAAGGCTCTGCCCAGAGGAGGGGTGACAGGAAGAACACTCCTTCCATGATGAGACTGCCCCCATCATTCCCAGACTGTCCCAAGAGCCTGGTCCCCACTCTCTCCAGAATGGTTCTTCACACCCATCACTCCCCACTCTCAGTCCACCTCATCAACCTGTCCCTCTTGCACATTCTTATTTCACTTCTCTCACATCCAGACACACTCCACCTGTTCCCAAAACAAGCCCCTGGGCAGTGGAGCCCAGAGCTGGGCACAGCACCCAGGCCACCGTGTCATCATCCCTGAGAGGCCAATGGGACACGCTGCTCACCTCCTTCCAGACCCTGGCAAGGAGTCACCTCCCTGTCACCCATTTCCAGCCCTGTTCCGAGTGCCTGGAGGTGTCCCCCCCATTTCCCAGGGGCTCAGACAACCTGTCTCTGGGTCACCCCAGCTCATTGCTGGCCCTGTCAGAGGTCAGAGCCCGGCCCCAGCAGTGCAGGGCCAGCTTCTGTCCTGTGCCAGGCCACCAGTGGTGCTGCTGGCGGTGGTCGTGGACTGGTTTGCCTGCCCTGCTCTCTCACCCCCTCACTGACAGGCTCACAGGGATGTGGGCTGCAGTCCCTCTTGGGGGCCCTTGCACCATGCCAAGGGAGCTTTTCTTATCTTCACAGGAATGAAAACCTTTCTGAAATCAAAGTGCTTGGGTGGCTTTGAAGAGTTTCCTCTGGAGATGAAATAAGGCTGTTTGCGAGTGTGAGCGATCGCTGCCGCAGCTGCAGCTCCTGGTGAGACTGGGCTGCTGGTGAGCTCTGGGCAAGGGCACTGGACCTGGGGCTACCCCAGGATGGGCAGTTTGGCCAAAGAAGCCACCCTCCAGGCTGGAATCTCCCCCTCGTGCAAAGCCCACCAATACAGAGCTTTTCTAATTCATTTCTGACGGATGCACACTGGGAATTGAGTGGCATGAAAGGCAACCAACAAAGGAATGTATTAGAGGATTATGTGGAGAGGCTGGAGGTGTTCAAACAACACCCTGCACTGTAAGGGGCTGCTCAAATCCTCAAGTCCCCAGGACCCACAGGGTCCATCTGGAGGGGAAAAACAAATTCAAGGGCCAGTGCTGTAAACAAGTCTGAAGAAAACCTCCCCTCCTGGAGGAATCCACCCACACTGCTCTGCTTTGGGATGCTGGATGAAGGGTAGATGTGGAGGGGCCAGAGACAATTTTGCTGTGGGTTTGGGGACAGGCAGACATGTGATCTGGGACTCACCAGCACAGGCAGTACCTGTCAGCCTGCCCTGGGGAGCAGAGATTGCCTGGGAAGCCAGTGTGCACGTAGATTATTTGTTGTTTGATATTTTCCCTTTAATGCTTTTGTCCTAAAATAAATATACAAAAGTTCAGGGCCCTGCAGGTTGTGCCTGTTGTGGGGGAGAAATGGATGGCTGAATCAGTTATTGCTTTGGAGCAATCGATGCTGTTTGTTTACCAGGATGGGTAAAGTCTGCTCTCCCTGGACACATGTTCTCACAGCTCCTCAGGAACCTGCCCCAAAGCTACCTTAGCACCCTGCCCACACAGCCCTGCCACCTCTCCCTGCCTCCTTCATGGGTCAGGGTGGCTCCTGGGCTTTGGGGACAGAGGGACTTTGGAGACAGAAGGAATTTGTTAAGGAGGGGTGAAGATCCACGCTGGATCCCAGCCTGGGATGGAGATGATCAGGCTCAAGGGGAAGTAGGCTGTGCTGTGTGCTCTGTGCCAGCGCTATGCCTGGGCACAAGCAGGGAATGATGCTCAGCCCATGCATCCCATCTCGCTGCATGCCAGGTCCAACTGATCCCCACACCAGAACAGACACCCTGACACATATGTCATCCTCGTGTCCCCCACCCCAAGTGAAGACCCCAAAACAGGGATCCCACACTCCAGGCTGCCAGATATCCTAATTGAGGCTCATTCTCTCCTTAGGGGTGGCTATATCTGATCAGGGCCACCATGGTCAGGAATGCTGCATCCCTTGTGAGAGAGTCTTGGTTGGCCTTTTCCACATAGCCCAGCTTGTCTGCCACTTGTTTAGCACTGTATTCCCCTTGGAGTCTCCCTGCAGCACCTCTGGATTTTGCCCTGAAGGAGTGTCGGCTCGAGGGTATTGCAGAGCAAACACAGAGCAGAGGTGAAGGGGCAGCCTCATCCCCTTACAGCAAACACAACCCTCTGACCTCCATCCCAGCCCTGCAAAGGTCACAAGGGTCCATCGCTGCCACCACCTCCCCCCTGCCCCATGCTGGCCCCAGGCCTGTGCCCGTGCTCCTGCCATGTGCCAGCTCCACAGACAGCACCCCAACCTCCCACCAGAGACTGAGGTGTGGCCTCAGTGCACTCCCTGCCCTCTCCATCCATGAGATCCCAGTGCCAGGGCTGCCTGTCCCTGCCCTCCGTGTCCACAGGGATCTTGTTCCTGCTGATGCTCATGGTCCCTTCAACCTCCAACTCCCTTCTCCTTTGCTGTCTCCATTCACTAACCTTGCCTTGGGCTCCCTCTCAGTCTGTCCCTGCCATCTCCTGCCAAATCCGTGCTGAGCCTGATCTCTCCATCCTCTAGTGTCCCTGTGCAAGGTCTGTCTGTCCCCACCACAGTCCCTGCACACCTGCTGACACCCAGCACCCTCCCTGCCATGGTCCCTGCTGTGATGTCACCTGGAGCCCCACAAAATTTGGCTGGCCATGGCTCCCTGATCTGTGTCTGTCCTTCCAGGAGCAGGGATGAGGGAAATCCAGCCTCTCTCTCTCTCCGTGCCCAGAGCAGCTCCCATCCTGCCCTGCCCAGCCCAGCCTCCGTGGGCAAGTTCCAGCTTGAGATGAGGTTTTTGCTGCTGTGTGACCCGTCCCCCGTGTCAGTCATGCTGGGCAGGGCAGGTCTGATCTGGTCTCCTCTGCTTGAGTTTCCTCCTGCCTCCCTTAGGCTGCAGGATCTTGCAGGGAGAGGTCGTGGCTGCCCAGCCAACAGCTAGCTCCTGCTCTGAGGATGTGGAAATCTCCCTCCACCGGTGCCTGCTTGCTTGTCTCCAGGGCTGGACCATCCCCCAGCAGCAGCTGGAGGTGGGTTTGCAAGCAGGAGACCGTTGGACCCTAACAAAAGCAGGAAATGGCTGTAATTCTCCTTTCAGAGGAGGTATGAATAGCAGATCCCCAGAGAAGGCAAGGCCAGCTCAGAAAGCAGCAGTGATGTGATAGACTCAGCTCATTGCTTGCAAAACTGGGCTTCCTGAGAGCTTCCCTCTTCCTGCTCCTCTCCAGCCTCTCCTCGTTTTAGGCCAGCTCTGCCAGACCTTCCAGCAGCTCCAGCACTGGCAGGACATGAACCACCAGTGTCCTGGCCAGGGTGCTGTTCCTAGACCTGCACCCTACCAGGTCATAGGGTGCCCAGGCTGGGGGGCAGCCAAGGGGGCCAGAGGACCTGAAAAACCTGATCTAATAGGTGGCATCTCTGCCCATGGTAGGGGTTTGGAATGAGATGGGCTTTATGGTCACTTCCAGCCCAAACCATTCTATGATCCTATGATTCTATAACCTCACACCTCATGCACAGAACCACTTACTGCTTCCTGCTCAGGATCCCCCATGATGAGCCCCATGAACAAGAATTTGAGTATTTAAGGGATAAAGAGAGTGCCAGAGGCAGGGGATGGGAGGGGAGACCACCACAGCCCAAGTCCCTGGCATGGGACTGGGAACAGCAGGAGCTTCCCCTTGGGGGTGACTCACAGCCTGGGGAAGTTGAGCATCCCACAGGCTTCTAATAGTCCCTGGGAAGCTCCTCTCAAGTCTAAATCCCAAGATCAACTTGGGCACTGAGCATCAAAGCTCAATCTGCCATCAGGGTTTCATTTGGGGGGCTCTGCTGCTGCTTATTCTTGAAGAGATGTCTGGTGCTGCAGAGGATAAGTGGAGGTGGGAGAAACCTTCCTGCTCTCTGCACAGGTCTGTCTGAACCCTGAGGCAAAGGATTGATTAATCATTGCTTGATTAATTGCAGGGCATTGCAGACAATCTGTTCCCAACGGCCTGTGAAGGGAAGGGATGAGGTGGAGGACTGGCCAGGGGAGGTCACTCACCCCAGCCCATCAGTGCCTCAGCCTCAGAGCTGCTCCCAGATGCTGGATTAAATGGTTTCTTTTTTAAAGAGAGATCTAATCTTTTGACAAAAGCTGCAGCAATGCTGTGAGCCCATCATCTCCCTGAGAAAACTTCTTCCAGCCTTCAAATGCTTTCACCACTTGGATACTGGATTTCAATTCAAGGCTGAATCTGCCTCTCTTCAGCTCCAGCCCTCTTGGTATACCTTGCTGTGGGATTTAAGGGTCTCCCACTATCTTTTCCACGTGGGAGGACAGGTATTCAGATCACCTGATAACATACTTTTTAGCAAGCATCACATCATGAGGCCTGGTTTTGCAGCCTGTGATCGGATCTGTGACGCTCTGTTAGGCTCTCCTGGTATTTCCCTGACGTCCCCTGGGTGTGGGTGCCAAAAACAGTGCTTCTCCAGCAGTGAGTTATTCACTAACTCTCTCCTTTCAGATCCCCACAGACCCCCACACAGAGACACACCAGGTGTCTTTCAGGGTACTTGTTCACACTGATCCCTAATTACTCTTCCATGGACATATCTGCATCACTGGATGAGGCAGATATTCCTGGGAGGGCTTTAAATGAGCTCCCCTGGTTGCTGGTTAACAGCCAGTGTTCCTATTTCCAGCCTGTATAGACATGCCTGGAGTCACTGCTTTCCAAGATCCAGCCCGCAGGCTTAAAATCCAAACTTCATTTCCAGATACATTCCCATGTTTATCTGCATTCAAATACACCCTGACCATTTCATCAGCTGTTTCAGGGTGAAACCATCCTCTCCCCTTTCTATCTCATCACTCCGGGTGTCATTTTCAAGCTTTCCCAGCAAAGATTTCATATCTTCACCTCCATCATTGATAAAAATGTTTAATAGCAGTGGACGAAGAGCAGGGCCCCGGGGGAGGGAAGTGGAAATAGTGCTACTTACTGATATCTCCCCATTAGCAGCTCCTCTAAGATCTGCCAGGGAAGCATTTTTAATCCATCTAATATGTACCCTGTTAATTCCTTATAATGCAAGTTTTAATCAAAATGTCAGGTGGAAGTAAGTCAAATGCCTCGGAGAGATCCGAGCGTGCTGTATCAACACAACTGCCTTTCTCAAGCAGCCCGGCAATCCTGTCAGGGAGAGACAACAGGTTTGTGTGACAAGCCCTGCTGCCTGTGCCACCACGCTGGCTGCAGCTCCTGAGCCTGGGGACATCCCATCACCACCTGGTCCTCGACCCAGGGATCCATCTGTGGACCTAAAATCCACCAGAGACCAGCAAACCCCCCCTGAGCAATACCCTCACCATCTTCTCCAAGCCTAGACCCATATTTCCTCATTATTCTGGGGATGGTGGTCCCTGAGAGGGATTGAAGGGGATGAGCCTTCAAGGCTGGATGAGGATGTTTGAGATGCTCAACCCCAAGGATCCATCCCAGGAAGAGCTTCCAGCGTGGCAATGGTGGAGCCCATGCAGCCCTGAGGGACAGAGGACAGTGGTCCCTGGGGAAGGGGATGAGTTTTCAAGGCTCAACAAGGAGGTCCAAGATACTTGGCCCCAGTGTCCATCTCAGGAAAAACTTCCAGTGTGGCAATGGTGAGCCCATACAGCCCTGAGGGACAAGGGATGGTGGTCCCTGAGGAAGGGGATGAGCTTTCAAGGCTGAATGAGAAAGTCTGAGATGCTCAGCCTCAGTATCCATCCCGAAAGGAGCTTCCAGCCTGGCAGTGGTGGAGCCCGTGTGGCCCTGGGACACGAGGTGGGCTGAGGGCTGTGGGAGGACCAAAGCTCAGGGGCTTCCCCGGCTTGCAGGATCTTTCATCCTCTGTCGCCACGAAGCCGGGCCAGATCTGCATTTGCAACAGCCCACAGAAGCTGCCTCTGTTGTCTTATTTTTGTTATTTTTGAGAGGATATTTTAGCACCGAGCACATTCCCTCCTGTTGCCATGGCAGCCGTGACAGGGGTTATATACCGTGAGAAAAATACCAAAATTAATGAGTGAGTGAAAGAGCAGCCAAGAGAAAAACAAGGTTAAAAAAAGAGTTAAAACAGTAATAAAAACAATCTCCCAATAATTCGGCAGCCAGTGTCCCACAGGCATGACAGGCAGCGAACATCCGAGCCCTCCAGCTCTTCCATCAATCCCAGCGTGGGGTTGGCCGCCCATCTCCCGTGGCCAGAGCATCCCTGTGGTCCGAGGGATGTGCTGCTCCCTCAGCATCCCACTTCGACTCCAGATGGGGCTGAACCCCCCCGGCTCCTTCCCCCGCAAACCCGCAGCCCTTCCTGATGCGGGAGGAGTGCGGAGGAGAAGTCCTTTAATGTGCTCATTTCCTTGCATTTGGGTTTTGAGGATCTTTTTTTTTTAATTGTAGAAACAAGCGAATTGTCAGAACATGTGTTATTAGCATTTGCTGCCCAAATCCGAGCTGCTGCTTCTCCTGCAGAGCCCAGAGCTGATGAGAGAGAGAACAGAGGAGCCTTTGAACTCCTTGCAGCAGACGGCAGCCAGGTTGCTGCGTGTGTGTGTTGGGGAGGGGGTATTTATTCTCTTGTAAGGTTCATTTGCTCTCCGTGTTTCCCTTTCTTCTCGCTTTCCCAGAGATTTAGCTGGATGCTCTTCCCTTGCAGGCTTTGTTCTTCTGACAAGGCCCTACTGGCACCACGAAGCTGCTGTCGCTGGGTGATGCCAGAACATCCCAGCACGGGGTACCTGTGGCACAGGGCAAGGCAGAGCCTCTAGCAGCAGCTCCAGAGGTGGTGGCACTGCCAGCACTGGGACAGGCAGGTGGGAAGGGTCTGGAGGGCCTCATGAAATAACTCTGCAGCCAAATCTGGAGTTTGATGGTTTCTTATTGCTTAGACTGACTCTGCTTTCTGGGAAATGGTGAAGACAAGGCGAGGATCGGTGACTCACTGTGACTGTTATATAGTAGGAAGAAATTCTTCTCTGTGAGGGTGGTGAGGCCCTGGCACAGGTTGCTCAGAGAAGCTGTGGATGCTCCATCCCTGGAAGTGTCCAAGGCCAAGCTGGATGGGACTTGGAACAACCCGAGCTAGTGGAAGATGTCTCTGCCCATGGTGAGGGTTGGAACGAGATGTCTTTAAGGTCCCTTCCAGCCCAAACCATTTTTGATTCTATGATAACACCCTGGAGAAGGAAGTGTAGGGAATGGCAGTGCCCGTATCAGACATTTTGTGCTGTCAGAGGGCAAGGAGCACCCTGGCACTCTGGGAGGGGCCTGGCTTCTTTCAAAGGCAGCAGGGTGGAAGAGGAAGGTAGAGACAGACAAGGCAGCCCTGGGCTGCCAGGTCACCAATGGTCTGGACACAGCTCCCCACCAGCTCCCCAGGTCATGGGCACTGCAGAGGGCTCTGCCAGAGAACACATCTGGGCTGCACACAGGTGGTTCCTGATGCCAGGACACTTTTCCCTTCACTTTTGTAGAGCCTGGATCTGCTCCTCAGAAACATAAACGTGCCTGTGCAGAGGCTGAAGGTGTCAGGCACTGGTGTCCCATGAACAGGTGGCATGCAGTGATCTGTGTGCGTGCCCAGGGCACTCCCTGCACAGCTGCCTACTGACTGCCCCGTGACTCTTGTGAAATAGAAACCTTTGGCCCCCAGCAATCTCTGAAGTTTGCCATCCCCGCTCCACAGGCAGCCTTGGATCCACAGGGTCACTCCCTCAGTTCCTCCCATTGCTCCAGCTCTCTGTCCCTCCAAGGAGTGTTGCCAGTGACTGATACATCAAATCTCACGTCGTGTGCAGAGAATTTCATTCCCTCTCTCTGCCCAGATCCCCAGCTCACTCTGTATCAGCAGGGCAAATCCTGACAAACCCCACAGCTCCTTTCCCTGCCCCAAAGGTGGGCTTTGACCTTCCCTGGGTTCTCACTTCACATCTTCTGCTAAATCGGCTTCATGAGAATTGACACTCTGAAAAAAACCCAACACATGGACGGAGACGCCAACATCTCTGCAGGAGCAGAAAGTCTGGGAGGAGAGCTGTGTTTTCCATCCTGAGGGGATGACTGTCCAGCCCCTTTTTTCTGCTCAGCTAGACGAAGCCTTGACAAGGGCTGAGCTCCCTTGTTGCCGGGAGAAAAACCGGGGCAATTCGCGGGGGGAAGGGGGTGAAAGCAGTGCAGTTTTGGGGAAAAGCGGGGTGATTTGGGCTGAGATGGAGCCAGTCTCCTCCGAGCAGGCGGGCGCAGCCTCTAGATGGTGCAGTGATGCAGCCGAGCTGAGCATGTGTGCGGCGAAGGGAGCTGCGCAACAGGTTGGCGTAGCTCAGCGGGAAGCAACGCTCCCATCCCCGCGCTGCGGCGGAGCACAAAGGACTTTCCAGCATCCTGGCGAGAAATCTGCACTGCAACCGCCCGGGAAAGTGGGTGCTGCTCGGTGAGAGGCTCCATGGCGTGCCTGACCCTCGCAGGGTGCTGAGAGCCTCCGCAGCACCTACCTGTGAGAGCGCTGAGGCCTCTGGCAGGGCCAGGCTGCAGCTCTTGCTGGCAAAGGGAGCACGGCCGCTCCTTGCAGGAACGCAGGGGCAGTGGAGGCATCTAGGGAAGGGGCCCCCCTGGAACACGCTGTCCCCAAGCCCCTGGGGACTTTGCTTGCCCGTCCGAGGTGCCGAGGTGAGGACCCAGCTGAGGCAGAACAGCTTGTGAAAGGCACCGTGAGGGCACTGGGAGCTCGCGGGTGCTTTTGGGAGACGCAGGTGTCCCTGCACCCTGCAATAAAACCATGATTCACCGAGGTGTGACGGGCCCCACCACTCCGGGAGGTGAAGTCTGCAGCCTGCCTCCAGCCCTCCTGGGCTGCAGGGTCCCGCTGACCTCGCTCCCCCGGCGGGACCCTCCCGGCGTTGCCCGCCGGGTCCCTGTCCCCGCGGTCGGGCTACGGGGTGTGAAGCGCCGGCTGGAAGAATAAATGGGTGAATTAATTATTAAGAGAACCGAGAGCGGAGTGAAAGGGGAGACCCGAGCCACACGAGTGCGGGCGAGGAGCAGAAGGGTCCCCGAAGTGAGGGGGTCTGGGGGGCTGCGAAGACTCCC